CTTATTCGGATCTTGAGTTTCGGGAAGTGCGGTTTCACACATTTCGAATTTCAAAGTATGGGAAGCGCAATTCCTTTGAAACACCGCATGGGTTGGAATTGCTTTCCCCTAGTTCCAAATTATGGGACACGCAAATTCTATTGAAAAACCGCGCTCCATGGGCTGGAATTGCGTTTCCCATAATTCAGAATTATGGGAAACGCAACTTCCATTGAAAACCCGCACTCGTGCGTTTCCCATTATTCAAATTCTGAATTTCGGGAAACGCGGTTTCCCATACTTCGAATTAACAGCCGCACTCAATGGGCTGGAGTTGGTTTCCCATACTTCCGAATTATGGGAAACGCAATTTCCATTGAAAACCCGCACCCATGCGTTTCACATACTTCGAATTCTGAACTTCGGGAAACGATGCTTCCCATAATTCGAATTCTGAATCTTGGGGAACGCGATTTCCCCCGAAAAACAACGCACCCAATGGGCTGGAATTGCGTTCCCCATAACTCCGAACCGTGGGAAACGCAATTTTCCTTGACAGGCCGCACCCAATGGGCTGGAAGTGTGTTTCCTATGAGTCGAATTCTGAGTTCCGGCAAACACGGCTTCCCACATTCGAATTCCGAACTATGGGAAGCGCAATTTCCATGAAAAAACGCACCCCGTGGGCTGGAATTGCGCTTCCCATAATTCCGAACTGTGGGAAACACAATGTCCCTTGAAACCGTACTCGGCGGGATAGAATTGCGTTTCAATCAATCTCGAATTATGGGAGCACACAATTTTCTTTAGACGAAAACAGCACTCGGTGGGCTGGAGCTACGTTTCCCGTAATTCTAAATCTGAATTTCGGTAAACGCGGTTTCACATATTTCGAACTCAGAATGATAAAAAGCTCAATTTCCATTTAAAAAAAAACGCACCCCGCGTGCTGGAATTGCGTTCCCCATAATTCCGAATTGTAGGAAACGCAATTTTCATTGAAAACCCACACTCGCGCGTTTCCCGTAATTCTAATTCTGAATTTCGGGACACGTTGCTTCCCACACATCGAATTCTGAATCCTGGGAAACGCACTTTCCCGCGAAGAACAGCACCCAGTGGGCAGGAATTGAGTTTCCCATACTTCAGAATTATGTGAAACGCAATTTCTGGGCTGGCTTTGCGTGCTAACTACGAATCATGGGAAACGTTCTTTCCCTTGGACAAAAAAACGCGCCCCATGGGCTTGAATTGCGTTTCCCAAGATTCCGAATTATGGGCAACACAATTTTCCTAGACAAGCAGCACTCAATGGACCGGAAATGCGATTCCCAGAATTTGAATTTTGAATTTCGGGAAACGCGGTTTCCCATGATTCGAATCCCGAATCATGGGAAACGCCATTCCCCTTGACAAGCCGCACCAAATGCGCTGGAATTGCGTTTCCCACAATTCCGAATTAGGGGGAAACGCACTTTCCTTAGAAAAACCGCACTCGTTGGGCTGGAATTGCGTCTTTCATAATTCGAATTCTGAATTTCGGGAAACGCTGTTTCTCATAATTCGAAGTCCGAATTATTGAAAACGCAATTTCCAGTGAAAAACCGCACTCGGTGGGGCGGAAATGCGCTTGGCAGAATTCCGGATTATGGGAAGCGCAATTTCATTTGAAAAACCGCACTCAGTGTGCTGGAATTGCGTTTCCACATATTTATATATATATATATATATCACGCAATTTCCCTTGCTCAATTGGCTGGACTTGCGTTTCCCATAATCCAAATCTCAGTTTCGGGAAACGCGTTTTCCCATAATTCGAATTCAGAATTATGGGAAGCGCGAATTTCCGTGAAAAACAGCACCGGTGGGGCTGGAACTGCGTTTCCCATAACTCAGAATTATGTGAAACGCAATTTCCCTTGAAACACAACACTCGAAGGGCTGGAATTGCGTTTCACATGATTCGAAGTCTGAAAATCGGAATTCGGATGTAGAGTTATGGGGAACCACGTTTCCCTAAATCCAGAATTCGAATGATGGGAAAGCGATTCCGGCCCATTGGGTGCGGTGTTTCCAGGGAGATTGCGTTTCCCATAATTCGGAACCATGGGAAACGCAATTTCAACCCATGGAGTGCGGTTTTTCAAAGGAAATTGCGTTTCGCATAACTCAGAATTCGAATTAAGGGAATCAGCGTTTCCCGAAACTCAGAATTCGATTGTGGGTAACGTAATTCCAACTTATGGGGAGCTTCTGCACAACTCGGAATATGGGAAGCGCAATTCCAAACCATGAAGTGCGATTTTTGGAAGGGAAATCGCGTTTACCACACTTTGGAATTCGAATGGTGGGAGACCGCGTTTCCCGAAATTCAGAATTCGAATTATGGGAAGCGCATTTCCAGCACACTGAATGCTGTTTTCTCAGGAAAATGTGCTTCCCAAAATTCGGAATTTTGGGAAACGCAATTCCAACCCATTGGGCGCGGTTTTCACAGGAAATTGCGTTTTCCATAATTCGGATTCAGAAATATGGGAAGCAGCGCTTCCCGAAGTTCCGGATTATAAAGATGGGAAACGCAATTCCAGCCCACCGAGTGCGGTTTTGCAAAAGAAATTGCGTTCCCCATAATTCGGAAGTACGGGAAACGCAATTCCAGCCCACCGAGTGCGGTTTTTCAAAGGAAATTAATGTTTCACATAATTCGGAATTCGAAGTATAGGAAGCAGCGTTTCCCGAAATTCCAAACTATAAATATGGGGAACGCAATTCCAGCCCATCGAATGCGTTTGTTCAAAAGAAAGTGCGCTCCCCATAATTCGGAATTACGGGAAACGCAATTCCAGCCCATGGAGTGCGGTTTTTTGAAGGGGAAATCGCGTTTCCCATACTTCGGAATTCGAATTATGGGAAGCTGTGTTTCCCGAAATTCAGAATTCGAATTATGGGAAACGCAATTCCAGCTCACCGAGTATGGTTTTTCACTAGAAATTGCGTTTGTCCACAATTCGGAACTATGGGAAGCGCAATTCCAGCCTATCGAGATCATTTTTTAACATGCGTTTACCATAATTCGGAATTCGAAATATGGGCAACCGCTTCTCCCGAAATTCAGAACCGGAATTATGGGAAACGCAATTCCAGCCCATCGCGTGCGGTTCGTCAAAAGGAAATTGCGTTTCCCATAATTCGGGATTATGGGAAACGCAAAACCAAACCATTGAGTGTGGTTCTTCAAGAGAAAATGCGTTTGTCCAAATCGGAGCTATGGGAAACACAATTCGAGCCCATTGAGTGCGGCTGTTCAACAAAAATTGCGTTTCCCATAATGCGGAATTATGGGAAACGGAAAACAAGCCCATTGAGTGCCGTGTTTCAGCGGAAATTGCGCTTGCGTTCCACATAAGTCGAATTCCGAATTATAGCAAACGCAAAACCAGCCCATCGAGTGCGTTTTTAACAGAAGTTGCGTATCCCATAATTCAGAATTATGGGAAACGCAAAACCAGCCCATCGAGTGTGGTTTTTTACCGGAAATTCCGTTTCCCATAATTCGAATTATGGGAAACTCAATTCCAGCCCATCGAGTGCGGCTTTTCGATAGGAACTGCGTTTCCCATAATTCGGAATTCGACTTGTGCGAAACCGCGTTTCCCGAAATTCGGAATTCGAATTATGGGAAACGCGTTTCCCATGCAATGTGTCCTTGGGGCAATCGTCGGGGGTTGCGTTTCCCATAATTCGCCCTTTTCGACTTGTTGAATCTGGCGAAACGCAAACCCGGACGGCAGCCCGAGCGGGTCATCCAACAGCTTGTAACAATCGTCACTTCTGGGTTCCAGAAGCCTGATTACGGAGGAAGTCTCGAGCCGGAGCCTCGGTTGTGAGTGAATCGCGAGGAAATCTCAGGCGGCAGCCCCCTCCCTATGGGGCCCGCAGCTCATCACATTAATCCGAACGGGTCGTCCAAAAACTTCCAACTGTCGACACTGTTTGGCTCCTGGGGCCCGAATATGGAAGAAGTCTTCAGCGGGAGATTCGTCTGTGAGTGAATTGTGGAGAAGTCTCAGGCGGCAGCCCCCTCCCCGATGGGGCCCGCAACTCACGTTGGCAATCCGAGCGGGTCATCCAAAAACCGTCGTCACTTTTGGGCTCCTGAGGCCTGAACATGGAGGAGGTCTCGAGCGGGAGCCTCGTCTGTGAGTGAAGTGCGACGAATCTCAAGCGCGAGTCCTTCCCTATGGGGCCCGCAGTACATGTTAGTGACCTCAGCGGGCCATCCAAAAAATTACAATTGTCGGCACTTCGGGGATCCTGAGGCCTGAATATGGAAGAAGTCTCGAACGGGGCCTGGTCTGTGAGTGAATTGTGAAGAATCTCAGGGGGCCTGGAGCTCAGTAAGTGTCGTCACTTTGGGGGTCCTGAAGTTTGAAGCTGGAGGAATTGTCGAGCAGGAGCCTCGTCCGGGAATGGATCGCGGGGGCCTCCAGCTCGCGCTCGGAAAGGGTCGCACATTTATTGGGAGCTCGACTCTCAACTGGCCTGCCACTGGCCCTCACGGGCCACCCCTGCCTATGGGGCTCGCACTTCACGTTGGCAATCCGAGAGTTGTGTGCCGAGCTGGCACCAGGAGGCCCCAAGAGGCTCCAGGATGCCTCGGGAGGCTGTGTCCGGCATGTGGTTCTGGCCTCTGGCACGGGAGGGCGGGGAGGGAGGTAGGGAGGAAGGAGGGGGGAGGAGGCAGGAGGAGGAGGAGGAGGAGGAGGAGGAGGAGGAGGGACGACGAAGAGGAGGAGGAGGAGGGAGGAGGAGGAGGGAGGAGGGAGGAAGCAGGAGGGAGGAGGGAGGGAGGGAGGAGGAGGAGGAGGAGGAGGAGGAGGAGGAGCAGCAGCAGGAGGGAGGAGGGGAGGAGGGAGGGAGCAGGGATGGAGGGAGGAACGCAAGGAGGGAGGGAGGGAGGGGGGGGGGAACCCAGACGAGGCCGCCGCGCGCGCGACCCCTCGGAGGGCCGGGGCCCGCGCGCAGAGCGAGGCGTGGAGCGCGAGCGCGGGCAGCAGCGACTCCAGCGCGGGGCCCCCCGCCCTCGCCTGCGTGAGCGCGCTCCTCCCTCCTCCTCCTCCTCCTCCTCCTCTCCTCCTCCTCCTCCTCTCCTCCGCCTCCGCCTCTCCGCCCGCCTCCTCCTCCTCCTCCTCCTCCTCCTCCTCCTCCTCCTCCTCCTCCGCCTCCTCCTCCTCCTCCTCCTCCTCCTCCTCCTCCTCCTCCTCCTGCCCCTCCCCCTTGTTACCTGCGCACTTCGCTCGCGCAGAATCACCCAGCGCAGAGGCGCCCGGAGCGAGGGAAGGCGGCGTTCGAGCAGTGGCGAGGCGCCCTGGCTTGCCTATGGGCCCACCTTGGAGCACTCTTTGCATGGGGCTATTCTCAAACGCAAGGTGCAGGTCAGTAGCGCTAGCGTCCCTGGCGGGCTCCAACCGAACCCCCCAAAATCGGCTGCGGAACGGGAGGCAGAGACTCTGGCGAGAAAACTCCCCATGACTGCGCAACCGCATGAAAGTTGGCATGTATAGGACGCCATGTACAGAGCCGGCTGGGAGTCTGAGGTGGCCCAGCACTGATTTCGGCCAGCAAGAAAGGGGGGCAAGGTCGCAGTGATGGGCCCGAGAGGGGCCCCAGGACCGATGTTAATGAGATTCGACCTCATCCCCCCTCCTGACCGATGTTCTGAGGCCACAACCACCAGTTCAGACCCTCCAATCGCCTCCAACAACAAGGAATGTTCTACGATCCGTTTTTGTGGGTTGCACGACATGTTCTCGGAGCAGTTCTGGCTGAGACCACCTTGTTTGAATACACCAGCTCTACGTTCTCAGAAAATTTCGTCTGGTCCGTAGAACATTCCTTGGCCCTGCGACCAGTTCGTGGTAGGCCTGTGGGAATGCTGGGACGGTCGGTCCCTGCTGAAGGCGTCGGGCGCTCCTCAGCCGCCGCTCTTCGCGGACGTCACCGCGCGGCGCGGGGGGGCTCGATGGTGTCGCGCGCGGGGGGCAGTCTTCGGGTTCGAGACTCGAGGCTTTCGAGGCTCTCCAGGATCGAGGTTCGAAGAATGGCACCCTGACTCGAGGTGTGGCAGGACTCCTGCTTTCGTGGGTTAGGTCTAGCAATTAGTTCAAGAATGTGAAGACTCGAGTTGTCCGAGTCAGGGTTCCAGAGACGTTCGACACTTTATGTGTACGTCTCGCACTTTGGCTCAAGGCAAAAGAAGCTTTCGCTCATCCTGCTGCTGCCACAGTTGGTAGCGGAGCGGGGCTGGCCATGGGCAGGGAGGGTGGTGCAGAGCGTTGCTGAGGATTCGGCGGTGGAAACACTGCTCGACGCCTATGGCCGGTTCTGTCTCCCAGGCCGGACAGTGCGTGGATCCACGGCGACGGTCAAGATGCCAGCAGAGGGCAGTAGAGAAAAAGTGTTTGCTGTCATGCAAGGAGGAGCTCCTCGTTCCTGGCAGCGCCGGAACGAGGGAGAGTCGACAGAAGTCAACGCCGTCAGCAGCCATCTCAAGAATGACGACTGGCAGGGCAGCTGGTGGTCAGGTACCAAAGGGAGACTACTCCAACTGCCCCCAAATGCTCAAAAATAGTAAAAAATCGTCCTCAGACTATTTTTCGACTATTTTGGAATATTCCTCCTGTAGAGGAACGTGCCCGACTTAACGCTAGGTGTCAGACGTGCGGCGTCGCGCGCTGCCTCGTCAACAGGCGGATTAGTAAAATCTCGAGCGGGATCCACCATCGCGAGGCTGCCGTCGATCGAGGGGAGTGCCGAGGGAGAAGGAGGAACGTCAACTAGACAGGTCACTCCAAGTGCTTCTGAGGAGGTGGACCCAGGCAGCAAGGTCGGAGAGGATGATCCAGGCCCAGGGCAGGTTGACCAGGAGCTTCCTCAACCCTCGCCTCTCCCCGATGCTCTTCCCCCTTTCCGCCCTGCGTCCCTCGATGCTTCTCCTTCCCCTCCTGAACCAATGCGCCCGAGGGGCAGGGTCAAGCTGGAGCAACCGTCGGATGTCCCCGCATGCATTCGCGCCAGGGCCGCCAGCCGTCCCCCGGACGTCGAGGCCAAGCGACCCCGAATCGAAGCTCCTCCTGGGCTGTCAGACGCGACCCGGGAGACGGGCCCCGGTGAAACCTCGGGAGAAGCAGTCGATGGCACCGGAGCAAGAGGCGAACCGTCCGACTCCAGGAGGGGGCGCAGGCTGGGCGATCTTGCGGGCCGAAGAGTCCAAGGCATCGAGGCACGTACCCGGCCGAGCCCAGAGCAGCCGCCTGCTCCTCCTCCCCCCTCGGTCCCTCAGCTCTCCTCGTTCCTTGTCGAGACGCGCAGAAGTGAAGCAGGCGCCTGTCTCACGGAGAATGTCTTTGCCGCCAGTCGGGGAGGGGAGATCAGCCTAGGCAAATTGTCTCCTGCGGATAGAAGAGAATTCGAGTTGGCTGGCGACAGAGAGTGGAAGAGAGCACGTTACACTCGGGAGCGGTGGAAGTCATAGGCCCCAAGGAGGCCGCCGTGATTCCACCAGTCGTCGCGGATGGTGAAGGTGGACGCCGGTGGAAGGCACTTTCTCTTAACCTTCGGCTAAAACACGGTGGTGCGTTCACGGACACAAGGATCCGGACACCAGCCCCATGTTTTTGTGGTGATTCAAATCATTATGAATTTAGGTTTGAAGGGAGACATCGCCGATGTCAAGAATGCTTTCTGCCAGTCAGACCCCATGCAACGTTCTCGAGGAGAGATTTACGTCCAACCGTGCGAAGGCAGAAAGGTCGAAAGAGACTCCCTGATCAGATTGCTCGTGAACGTGTACGGACTTGATGATGTCCCTCTTGCTTGGAGAAAAACCGTCGTGAACTTTCTCAAGGATAGAAGATTCTCTTGGAGCCTGCTCGAACCGTGCTGGTGGGTTCGATATGGGAGGGAAGGTGAGATCTTGAATATGATTCTGCTCGAGGTCGATGACTTCTTCATAGCCAGCCCGTCGGAGGAATCTCGAGTGTGGACCAGCGAGACCCTCAAGGGCAAGTTCCGGTTCGGAAAATACCGAGATTGTCATCAGGGCCCTGCAGAATATGCTGGCCGCAGCGTGCACTTTAGGGATCAGTGCTGCACCCTTGATCAGGAAAAAAAACAGATTGGAGGAAGTGTGGCCTGTCTCCATGGCCAAGGGTAGGCTCGGCGCCAAGAACTCCGAGCTCAGTCACGACGAGTTCAAGGCCCTCAGGTCTCCGGTATACAAACTGAACTGGGTAGGCAATTAGGGAGACGCGTCCAGAAGCCGCCAGAACCGCCAGTATCTTAGCCAGTCAACTGAAGGCTCCTACCATTAAGTCGGGCGTGTCCCCCCACGGGCGGATTTTGGACGAAAAATGAAACATAGTCAAACAAATACGCAAATCTACAAATAATCAAAAAATCGTCCGCAGACTATTTTTTTACTATTTTTTTATATTCCTCCTGTAGAGGGACACGCCCGATTCAACCCTACAACCAGAGACGTGTTTTGTGCTAACAAGTTGGTCCGACATCTGAGGGCCACCTGCCTCCAGGGGGCTCACGATCTGGAAGCTCGACCCTGAAAAAATTATCCCAGAGCGACCCAACCTAGAAGATGGAGCCCCGAGGAGAGCAATATTAGTAGTAATGCTAAACGCCGTCCTCCTCCTTCTCCTCATCGTCGCAGTTGTAGTAGTAGTAGTAGTAGTAGTAGTAGTAGTAGTAGTAGAAGTAGTAGTAGTAGTAGTAGTAGTAGTAGTAGTAGTAGTCGTCGTCGTCGTCGTCGTCGTAGTCGTCGTAGTCGTAGTCGTAGTAGCAGTAGCAGTAGCAGTAGGAGTAGCAGTAGCAGTAGCAGTAGCAGTAGCAGTAGCAGTAGCAGTGGTAGTAGTAGTAGTAGTAGTAGTAGTAGTAGTAGTAGTAGTAGTAGTAGTAGTAGTAGTAGTAGTAGTAGTAGTAGTAGTAGTAGGTAGTAGTAGTAGTAGTAGTAGTAGTAGTAGTAGTAGTAGTAGTAGTAGTAGTAGTAGTAGTAGTAGTAGTAGTAGTAGTAGTAGTAGTAGTAGTAGTAGTAGTAGTAGTAGTAGTAGTAGTAGTAGTAGTAGTAGTAGTAGTAGTAGTAGTAGTAGTAGTAGTAGTAGTAGTAGTAGTAGTACGACTTAATACCTAAATCTACATGTAGACCTACATCCGCATCTACATCTACAGCTACATATACATGTACACATGCATCTACATATACATCTACATCTACAGTATACTCACATCTACATCTACAGCTACACCTACATCTACACCTACATCTACATCTACACCTACATCTATATATATATATATATATATATATGTATACATATACATATATATATGCATGCTATGATATGCTATGCTGCGCTATGCTATGATATGATGTGATATGGTCTGATGTGCTATGCTATGATATGCAATGTTATGCTGCGCTATGCTATGCTATGCTATGTTATGATGCGCTGGGTTATGCTATGATATGATATGGTATGCTACGCTATGCTATGCTATGATATGCTATGCTATGCTGCGCTGTACTATGCTAAGCTATGCTATGGTATGCTATGCTATGCTATGCTGCGCTATGTTATGCTATGCTATGTTATGCTGCGCTACGCTATGTTGCGCTATGTTATGCTATGCCATGCTATGATATGCTATGCTATGCTATGGTATGCTATGCTGTGCTAATGTTGCGCTAAGCTCAGCTAAGCTGAGCTAAGCTGAGCTAAGCTAGGCTAGGCTAAGCTAAGCTAAGCTAAGCTGAGCTGATCTAGGCTAGACTAGGCTAAGCTAAGCTAAGTTAAGCTGGGCTAAGCTAAGATGAGATAAGCAACGTCAAGGTAAGGGGACGTAACTGGGAGAACCGCGGGGCGGATCCTGGGGGAACCGCCCGGGGCGAAGCCCACTGCCCGGCCCTCTAAGCTCTAAAGTAAGAACCCTTCTAGTCAGAGCCTAGGTA